CCCCCCCAGTGCTTTACTTTCAGCTCAGCAAGCCCCTGTACCAAGCCCAGTGCACACCCAGAAGAGGTCATGTTCACTTGACCCGGCTCACCCAACATCTGGGCGCTCCAGTGGGGCTTTTTGGTGCTTTTGTGTCATAGGTGATTGAATCATCTTTAGATAAAAGTGCCAAAAAGCCCTATTGAAGCGCCTGATCTGTACAGACGCTGCGGAGCTGGGTCAAACTACTGCATGTCCTTTTCCACTATAGCACTGTTTTTTTTTTTCTTTTTCTTTTTCTTTTTACATCTGTAAGCAAAAAGGCTTGAGTTCTCTGAGGGGATCAGTATTGTAGGTATTCACACATTGTGCCTAGTGCCTGTTGACAAAGTTGGCCAAAATGCAGTTCGGGCTCTGTTTTTTACAGGGAGTGGTTCTTTAATGCTCTAATCTAATGGTTAAACCACTTTTTTAGGATTGAGTCTTTAATTAGCCTGTAGGCTATCCATATTTCCTTCCTTCTGGGAGAGGGACGTAAGTAACTTAACAATTTGATTGTTTAGATAGGGGCACTTTCTGTCCCCCATTGAATCTTGTAGTTTTTTGTGCATTCATAGGTCTAATAAGAGCACAAGAAAAACACAAACCTACAGAGTTATGCTCTATGGCACTGGCCTGAGATGAATGGACTCCTTAGGGTTTTGCTTCTAGAATTGCTGTACATCCCACTCAATGCTCATTGGATGGCTGCTTTCAAAATACCTTTCCCTTCTTTCTCCTCTCCTCCCTGCGCAATGTAATGCTGTTTACAGTGCCTTGAACATGTACCTTATTGGAAAAATGTACGGGATTTACTGGATGTTATATTCCCTTAATTTCAGGACGATTGGAGACCTACTAGGTGAAGCTAAAGCTAGTGGTAATCTGGGGAACACCTTAAAAGTGCTTGGGAATTTTGAAGAAGCTATTGTTTGCTGTCAGAGGCACTTAGATATTTCCCGAGAACTTAATGACAAGGTAAGAATAGGGATTACTTGCTTTGCTTTCAATCTGGCTGTAACTGTATGAATAGTTAATAGAACTTTTGCATTTCCAATGATTCCTGTTTTTTCACCAACCTTAAATGTCTGGCAAACATCACCAAACAGGGCCACAAACAGTTTTCTCAGAATCCCTGTTGCCCTCCCTTTCCATCTGTCAGATATGATTAGTGTGGCCCTGCCCTCCATGAGGTGGAGGCAGACCAGGTTGCCCTGTGCCTCATCTGCATATAAACTTCTGAAGGATCCCAGGAATCGTGACAAGAACACCCAGTTTGAGTGGCAGTGGGAACTAATTAACACTTGGATCCTTTGTAGTGGGTGTCTCAAGTACACACGCTACTGAGCAGTGCTGAGCTGTGGAGTCACCATGGCTTGATACACTGTTGACCCTGCTGGGGCCCAGCCCAGTTAACTGTATGGTAAATCCTTTTTTGGCTTTGGACTCGTATCATGCTTGGTTTGTACTAAGTAGGTACAAAAGTGCTGCTTAAAAGTGTATTTATGGAGTGTCTGTGCTGAAATGTGCAGCAGTTTCAAGAAAGCTAAAATGCTTCAGTTCTGGGTGAACTAAGTCTTTGGGGAATGTGGAGGGAGGAAGGGGCTGCAGGGAGAAGAAGAGCAAGGGAGCTATCTGACCTCCCAGCTTTATTTTCCCTGCTGTTGCAGTGGGAAGGGGGCAATTCAAGGCAAGTTTGAATTGCAAGTTTGACTTGCAGTCAGGTAAACCCTGACTGGATTCTATACCTGGAAAATTATAACAACACATTTATAAATTTTCCATATATAGAATCTAATTATTGGGGGGTCATTTTATATTCAAGTAAATATGGTAATTAAATATCAATTATTCAGTGATTTATCCCAGAAATCTAGTGTCTGACTAGAGTCAAGGGGTAGGTCCTATCTAGAAGCCTACCATTTGTATGTTATAAAGGGCAAGGAAGTTATGTAATTTAGTAACCTATTCCTCCCCCTCCCCTTTTTTCTCCCCCTGCCATTGCTTAGTTTTTAACAGTAATATGTCCCAGCTTCAGAGATTTTTGTGTAATTCTTAGCCATGATAAAGAGAGTAAGTGAGTTGCATTGTTGTGGCATATCTAAACTGTAATTTTGTGCAAAGGCTTATACTTAGTTTTACACACCTGTAATCAAACCTACTCATAACCATTAGATGTTCATGAGTTGCAACCTTTGAGAAATTTGCAGACCAAGCACTTGGTTAGCCTAGAGTTAAGCTTCACCAATGCTGCCTTTTGTCTGACCATCTAAAATTTGCCCCATTGATCCTACAACAGATTCCCTTGAAATGCCTCAGTTTTCAAGATACCTTGAATCACAATATAGATTTTTAGGCATTTAAACAACCATTTGCTAAATGGCAATGTAATCCCAGCTTTAGTGGCACTACTACCCCACTGATACTTAAGAATACCTCCTATTTGGTCCAGTCTCTCATGATTTTTTATATCATGTGTTAAAGACTGAGACTAAAATTGCTGTCTTAGGAGGACTCCTGTTCCTTCTCTCCTGGGTGAAATCTGTCAACTTGTCAGAACCATTTCTGTGCTGAGCCTGGAACTGGCACCAGGATGCAGGCTCCACCCGTTCACTCCCCTTCCATCTGCACCAAATTCCCGACATGAAGTAATGGAGCTGGCTTTGAGAGATCTGAGCATGTGCCCAGGGCTCACACAGGCAGTCTGTGTTGGGTATGCTCAAGACTGCTGCCCAGTGGCTACTTGGCATGTGCAGAGCAGGAGGGGGTGGGTGGGGTGTGCTTCATGGCAGTGCTCCCAGACTCAGCAGCATAGACTAGCCCTATGTCTCAGTCTGTCCTGCTGCTGTTGGGTGGGGCAGTCTCTCTTCCCTTGTGCCACTGCCTTGGATGCAAGTTGTTTGCCTTCAAGGCTGTAACTACTTTGAAGAAACCTGCAGGTTTGAGTGCAGCTACCTGGGAAGTGTTGTGGGTAGGAGCACCAAAGCCATGGGTTTGCATCCTTGTTGGGATGCTTGGGATGTGGTGTGACAGTGTTTAAAAAATGGTCATACATGTATGAATTAATAGTTGGGGAGCTTTTTTTTCTTTCCCTGTTTGATTCTAAGTGTTGTACAGCACATCTCTGCAGAAAACTCTGAAATCCTTTTAACGCCTGGTTTTATGTTCTAGGTTGGAGAAGCCAGAGCACTTTATAATCTGGGAAATGTGTATCATTCCAAAGGGAAAAATGTAGCCTGTGCTGGGACTCATGATCCAGGGGAACTTCCCGATGATGTAAAGGCTGCATTACAAAAAGCTGCAGATTATTATGAGTGAGTAATATTTTAAAGGGCTGTGACAGGAGGGCAGAATCACTTGCCAAAGAAATCCTCTAAGTAGCTTAATACAGGGGTGCTGAACATGCGCAGAAATTTGAATCCAACCCCCGGCAGCAGCCAAATGTCTGGGAGAGACTCGCAGCACTCGAGCTCCAGTAGCACCGCAGCTTGTTACCACAATGGCAGCCAAGTGCCTGCGATGTCAGGCTTCTTCCCACGATGCTGCTGGGGCTCCAGTGCCACTGCTACTCATTTGCGTGTTGGCTGCTGCCGCAGGAAAGAGCAGTGGTACTGCTGGGGCTCCAGCACTGTGGCTGTCACAGCTTGGCTGCCACATACGCAGGCAAGAGCAGTGGTGCTGGAGCCCCAACAGCACTGCAGGAAGAAGCCCAGCACCACAGCTGGTTCCCATGACAGCAGCCAAGTACTTGAAATGCTAGGCCTCTTCCCGGTGGGTGTTGGGGTGGGCACTGGATCCAGCAGGGAGGGAGGGAGTGGGGGTCCATAGGGCTAGCCTCGTCATTTATCCAACCCACACCATTTATGAGTTTGATACCTGTGGGTTAATACATTTGGAGACCTGTAGTGGTGTGAACTAAACTCCAAAATAGTACCATTTAGTTGTAAAAACAGAGTATGTCGGCTAATGGGATATTTTCTTAAATCACTTAAAGGAGGAAAAAGTGATAACTGGTGTTGTTGTGTTTAAATTTAAGGGTGGTTTTGCTTTCATTCTTCTACTGTAATACTCATCAGGTGGTGACATAGGTAGAGTTACTCCCGTATTTTATTGCCCCGTTATTCTCTTGGCAACCAGTCTGAGATATGAGAAGTAAGACTTGAATATCAGCCATCTGTGCTTGATGTTGGGGTCTTTTTCCTGAAGTAATTTCTCCCTTCCTATGCTATGGAAGGGAGAATGAATTCTCTTCAGACTGGGTAGGACATACTGAGTAAATTTTAATCTGAGTCAGACATCTACTTGCATCTTACTGGGTAATGCCTAGTGTAGCCTAAAGGCTACTAACCGATAAAAATAAAACCTGCCACCTCCCTTTTGATTTTATTTTTTAAATCTGTCTTCCTGTTTAACAATCTTCTAGTGTCCTATGATCAGTGTTATCTTATAGGTTGTTTCCCCTCTTCTCCCTCCTTTTCTCTCCCTTTCCTCCCCACTCCAAACAGGGAAAACCTGACTATAGTGACAGAGCTGGGTGACAGAGCAGCCCAGGGACGTGCCTATGGAAATCTGGGTAATACGCACTATCTTCTGGGCAACTTTAGGAGTGCTGTCATAGCCCATGAACAGGTACTGCTGTGGAATTCTGCTTACTCTGGTAAATTACTTTCTAGTTGACTGACTGATCTTTGTTATATTTTTGTATTGTCTCTTGAGTTTTTAAATGCTAAGTGACCATACAGCACTTAAACTTATTTATAATGCAAAGTCAGCATTGCTGGTTCTTTTCAACATGTTGTCTTTTCAAGAGCTGTTTAATTGCAGAAGGATTGAGATGAAATGTTAATATTTTTAAACATGTTTTCACAGATACGTTTTACAGAACATGTTTTCACATGTTATCTGTTTGAGATATATGCAATAAGAAACCAGGTACATCAATAAGATGTCTTTGCTTATTTATTCATTAGCGTCTCCTAATTGCAAAAGAATTTGGTGACAGAGCAGCTGAAAGAAGAGCATACAGCAATCTTGGAAATGCATATATATTCCTGGGGGAATTTGAAACTGCTTCTGAATACTACAAGTTAGTCCATTTTACTTGTTATATGTAAATATAGTACCAAGGCAGTTTTGCATAATCAAAATAGTGAAGCTTTTCACTCTGTTAACTATAATTATGCCTACCATTTGGTTTGCTGCTTTCAACTAATCCATTTATCTATGTGGACATAATTATACAAAATTTAGCAGAGTAATCTAATTCTAATTCTTAGTTTAATTTTAATGGGACTATTCAACTCTTTCTAAAAGAGAGGAAGTCTGACTCTTCTTGTATATACGTTTGTGTGTACTTTCTTTAGAGGATTTTTAAACAGATGCTTCTCAATGTGAATAACTGTTTCTTTCCTTATCTTCTCCACAGCAAGGTCGCTGCATGAAGTTAAAATATATCTGTCTTTTAGATTAGTTGCTTGGGCTACATATTTGAGTTCAGATGTTAACTTTGAAGCTCAGGACGTCTCACATTTCCACAGGGACCAAATCTTACCTGAGCACCAGGCAAAGAAAATTTGCTCAGCTGTGAACTCAAGTCAGTCCATGTTATAGAGTAAGACTGACTGGCTTCATAGTTTAAGTATCTTACAAATAAAGCATATACTCTAGCTGTTCTAATGTTGATGCTAAACTGTCAAGTTCATTCTGTACTTTTTTCCTGAATGTAAAGAAAATCAACTAAAAATGCAATAGTGAAGCAACTGGCTGAAGTTAAAGTCATTTTCAGGGATCAGTCCTGCTGTTAGGGAAGTAAATGGGATTTTTTGTGTTATTTTAAAATTAGACTTAAATGGGGGAGGAAAAATTGGAATAATTGTCCTGTGAGGCTAACACCAGTTAATGATTTAGTTGTGACCCAAGAGTTAATGGAACTGTGAGTGGATTTAGATTTTAATTTTATCCTGTTGCACCTATATAACTGTATCAATATACGTTTCAGAATACAGGCAACCCCCCGCTTAATGCTGTTTCACTTGGTGCTGTTTCGCTGTAATGTTCATTTTAAATTGATACCTGATTTCACTTAGCATTCAGCGAGTTTCGTGATGACGCTTGCGGTTGCCATCTTGAGTCATTAAAAACAATTGTGGTCACCATCTTGGGTCGTCAAATACTTTTGGTTTCACTTAACCCTTGTTTTGCTTACCGCTTGTTTTTTCAGGAACCAGTTAAGAGCGCTAAGCGGGGGTTGCCTGTAGAATTTTTCCCCAAATGTTTTGTGATGTCTGTATTTTAGGAAGACATTACAGCTGGCTCGACAACTTAAGGACAGAGCTGTAGAAGCACAGGCTTGTTACAGCCTTGGAAATACGTATACTTTGCTCCAAGACTATGAAAAGGCAATTGACTATCATCTGAAGCACCTTACAATTGCTCAGGAACTGAATGATAGGTAACTGCTGTAAGCCTTTATCCTATGCTTAGTGTACAGAGGTCGTAGAATTGTGAGTGCTTTTGCTATGTGTCTTCTGTATATAGAAGGTGAACTGACATGATTTTGAGTTTCCGTGTGGACTGTATCATGCCCTTTTGAAAAAAAAATGGTAGCCTTAAAGTCATCATAGTAATGAATTCTGAGATGAAAAGTAGAGTTTTACTTGTATGAAAGCTAAGAGACTTATGGTTTTGCTGTTGCTGTCAAATTATCTTCCTACCATGATGTCAGTATTTTTGGTAAGATCAGTAGCTATGACATCTGCCCTTTACCTTGAAATCATAAGTGCTTTTACTTCTAGTTGTCTCTCAACAATAGGTGCAGAAGGAAGTCCATTAATATGGTACAGGAATTATGTTTTAAAATGGAAATAATTTTAAGGCCTGATATTCAAATATGCAGTGCTGCTAAAATTGATTTATGATTGTTTTAACATTATTGATTTGTAGAGAGAGACGTGCACTAAGAATAAATAATGTAAATCAAGTAAAGCTAATTAAATGGATTGTGAAATGTCATCCAACTCCTTGGTTCTTTCCACCACTGAATAGTACCTTATCAACTGAGAGTCACAACGTTCACAAGGTAGAAATCCAAAGATCTGACCAAGATGAAGCTCCCCATCTTAATTTGCAAATTTAGAAATACAACCATTTTAACATTCAGGTAAAAAGTCATCTAGCAGTGACAGCGACTTGTAATATTTTGGTATTAGAAATGGAGGTTGTCTTATCTGAACTGACAGTAGTACTGTGATTCTGACCCAAAATCTATGTTATAAAATTGTGACCCCTGGTGTTTGAGCATTAACAAATCTAGCAGCTACATATTTGCTTAAACTGTTTTGCAGAATTGGTGAAGGAAGAGCATGTTGGAGTTTAGGAAATGCATACACAGCATTGGGAAATCATGACCAAGCTATGCATTTTGCAGAAAAACACTTGGAAATTTCAAGAGAGGTATGACTTGCTTTGATTCATATGCTTTGGTTGTTGGATTTTTCTCTTGAAGATTTTTCATTTGTCCGGTGCTCTCTTTATGGAGGGGAAACATTTTTACAAGCCTAAGTTGAAGCCATATTGTCAGGGCAGGAGTAGTTGATAATAAATGTACAGTGGGTACACTAAATGAGTCTAAAAATGAAAAATATTTATAAAGAAAAGTTGCCTGTTACTGAGGAAAGCGTGCTTTGTGTCTAATGTGTTAGAAAAAAGCATCTGGGAGTAACCTTTCTCTGAAAATTTCACCCCTCTGGTGAGATCAGTTCTAGACAGACAATCATGGAAAATTTCCAGAATAAAAGGTGAAAATGTTTGCGCGGGGGCGGGGCTGCGGTATGAGACAGAGTAATGGGATAGAGGGCTAGAATGTGGGATAGAAGTCTGCGGTTGAATTTGTGGAACTATATTTGGTTGCAGGTAGGGGATAGAAGTGGAGAATTAACAGCAAGACTTAACCTCTCAGACCTTCAAATGGTGCTTGGTCTGAGTTATAGCACAAATAATTCCATGATGTCGGAAAGCCATGCTGTAGATGCTAGCTTGAATGGTAAGTGCTTACTTCCAGGATATTTTTTTAACAGTAAACTTCGAAGAAAAACAATTGATTGTTTGCCGTGTGCTGATCCTTTATTGTGTACAAATTCTTCTGTCTGGCTTTCTTGCTATTCTTAACCAAGAAAAAAGATTCCTTTTGCATGCAGTATTGGACACCTTAGCACTGGCATCGTGGTGTTAGGGCTGCATCCTGGGCTGTCCCTCTCTCTCAAAATTGATTAGCCTTGGGAATCTGAACCTTCCTCAACCACTTCATTTGGAGGGGGCTGCCCCCCTCCCCCTGTCCAAGTAAGACTGTTCAAGCCATTTCCATTAAGGGGAAAAATAAAACACATTTGTTTTGTATCTTAACAGAACATACCAAGTTTGGCAATTCCCCTTCCTCCCCCGCCTGTTTTTTTGCTTTGCAGTACACTGTTCTTTTTATGGAAAACAACAGCTTTTTTGACAAATTGAGATAATCTGTCTTGCCCTTTTCACCATAGTACGTGTACCATCTCTGACGCTGACAGTAGAAATGGGAGACTCTTGCTCCTGTCCATCTAAGATCCATAGCCTTCTGGCTTTGCCTCTCATATATATTTGCTCTCGCCTCTTCAAAAGTCACAGCTCACCTCTACTAAAATAACTTTTATTACACTAAATAGTAAATGTCACTTGGATGCCAGAGCTTAGAATTCCTAGTCCAAGAATCATACGGCACCCCAAATGTGTGCATGTTTCTACACTAAGTAGTTTTCAATTCTGAAAGGAAGAATATTACTTAAACTGATTAAACTGCATCATTTTGGAACTTAAATTGTTATATCCTAGAGGTGGTGTTGTATACTATAGTCCACTTTTAAAGTGTGCAAAATTATTTTTTCCTTCCTTTAAGGAGCCAGTTATTTAAATATCTGTATTTCTTCTTAAAGGTACTAAGCCTAGGGTAGGACGCCGTCACAGTATGGAAAACATGGAGCTTATGAAATTAACACCTGAAAAGGTACGCATGTTCTTTTTTGTGATTTCTGTTCTGGCCAATAGGGTTAAAGTAATATTTTGTATCTTTTAAACCTGCTGTTGCTGTAAAATAGCTGTTGTGGAGTAATTTGGGGGGGGCGGGGTTTGCCTTCCTCAGTCGTTGGGTGTTGGTAGCCGGCAGGGCCTGGGGATTTTGACTGGAGTGTGTCAGTGGTCCTGCTGGGATTAAAATTCACAGCTTCCTGGCTAGAGGGTTATCACTCTCTGCTCAGGGTCAGACTGATTTTTTGCCCATTCAGGATCAGTAAGGAATTTTACCCCATGGTCAAACTGGTAGAAACTGCAAAGGCTCCTAACTTTCTCTGTAGTGTGGGGGATGTGGCCCTCTTCTGGGACTTCTTGAGAGCATTTTAACAGTGCTTGCTGTAGCAGAAGACTGACCACTGTTGTCCTCCCCTGCTTTACCGATGGCAGGCTTGGGTGTTTTTGGTGTCTTTGGGCAACATTCCTTGTAGCTGTGCAGCAGGGTAGATTAAGTAGTTTTAGGACTTGCATGTGGTAGTGTGGATAGGAACGATCCTGCCTTGAGCAGGTGGTTGGACTAGATGACTTCTGGAGGTCCTTCGAGCCCTGCTTTTCTATTACTGTATTTGTTAAATATTTGCAGTTTCTATTCTGTGCTTCTCCTAGGATAAGAGTAGAGACATAGCAGCATCAGGTCAGCTGAACTGCAGTACTGTTAAAGCAGTATGGTTGTCTTGACTGTGCACTCATCTCTGAGTAGGTTAATGCAACTGTGAGCTATCCCTAAGTTATGTCCTTGAGAACTTTCCATTTTGGCAGCCAGCTTCACAGAAAGCTGTGCTGCTGCTGGCTGGCAGTTGTGCAACAAAAGTGTTTCTGAATTCTGCACAGCTTTCTGTGAAGAAGCTCTAAAAGCCTTCTCCATCATCAATTGGGAGCTAAGCAACTATTATATGAGGGTTTTCTCAGGTTGCCATTTATTCCTAAATCACTGATTTATTTTCTCTTTTTAGCAAATACTTTTGAATGGCATGTTTTGGGATACAGATATGCCATGTGATGTACCTGATTTCTTTAAGCAGGAAAGGAAGAAATTGATGAGCAATTAATTCTTTCCTTGTTTGCTTTTATTAGACCATTTGAGGCTGTCCCATGTCCATTTTGTATACCAAACTCAGTGTGAGGGGCAGGAAGCTTGTGTGGTCTCGATATAAAACTGGCTGTTTTTGAGTCCATGGATTTTAATCTGCCACACTCTCACTTTTCCAAACCACTGGGCTAGCCTGGGATTTTTGTAAGTCATGAAATTGTAACATCTGGAAAATACCAACAGAACATGCCAAATCCTTCTGGATGTCTGTAGCAGCCAGCATACTCACATTTCCTGTCAGGTGCAAAGCAGGAAAAGCATTTTTAATACATATGTAACCAAATGGCTTGCAACACAAACACATTACAGACAGTGTGTTCTCTTACTGCTGACATGTGATTAGACTCATTTGGGAAGACAGTTTGGCTGGTATTTCCATGTCAGGCTGAAACAGTACTAAATTCATCACTTCAAAACCAGTGGAGCTGCTCCTGGTGAATTTGTCCTATAATCCTTCTGATGCAAATCAGTACACCATATGATAAATTGAACCTTATAATCCATGTGCCATGTAGAAAAGTTATTCTATTAGAGTGACCTTGTTTAAAGTCTTTGTGCATTGTTGTGTCCTGTCATGGCTTGTTACGGTTGTTGTTCTGAATGTAACTGTTTTAGGTTGCTTGTACCTCTACCCAGACTCACAGACATTAAAAAAAAGCTGCAATGCAATATTAATGTCACTTCAGATAATCAAGGACTACGCAGCCACAGGTTAAGTGATAGAGTCTAGGAATTAAAGTTTTGTTTGTTCGCTTTACCACCAGAGAGGTACAGAATGAAGAGATTAGTTTCTGTCGTTCTTCCAGTCAGTAAAGTAGCAAAGACCATAGATGGCAACATATGTAAAGAAATTAGAATGCTGGTTTCGTGACTTTTTTTTTCCTTAGGTTCAGAACTGGAACAGTGAACTTCTTGCTAAGCAAAAGCCCCTGATTGCCAAACCTTCAGCAAAATTGCACTTTGTAAATCGACTAAAAGGCAAAAAATACAAAAACGGCACCTCTTCCAAAGTTCTGCAGGATGCCAGTAATTCTATCGATCACCGACTTCCAAACTCTCAGAGGGTAGGTTTGGAGAGGCAGGATTTTCATAATTTCTTAAAAAGTTCTATGTGAAAGTTTACTTTATATTACTTTTAATTCTTAATCTGTGCGATTTAAAATATGCAATCTCCAGGCATTGAGTAGAGAACCATCTTTGTGTTGGGTGGGTTCAATTACATATTACGTTTGAAATATGCAAAGTCAAAAAATAAGCTAACTTAAGGAGAAATGCAAGGCAAAAAAATATTTATTTTTGCTTATGAGTCTTGGTGCAGCTGCTGGAAATGTCTGCCTTACTCCTGATGGGTTTATTAACTGGTGTTTGTTTGTTTAAAAATAAACAAACTTCTACACACAGACTCTTACATTATTGATTTGGTCACCTCCATTTTAACTTTGGTTTTAAAGGCCATTCAAGCGCATACATGCACTGCAAAGATGAAACTGCCATGTCTTCTGCTTTACAGTTCAATTGTAATCCAAAGCTGCCCTAACTCTTGTCTTTTCAGAAAAACAGTCCTGACATGATTGGAGACGAAGGGTTTTTTGACTTGCTGAGCCGATTTCAGAGTAACAGGATGGATGACCAGAGGTGCTATTTCCAGGAGAAGAACAGACTGACAGCAGCTGCAGCAACATCAACTTCCTCTACTCCAGCCAAAACAATGAGAAAATGTAACTTTTTATTGTAGGAAAATATCCCCTAATCCATATATATATTTTGGATTGGATTCATAAAAGAGCACACTCTCTGAAAACTATTTTGACTAACATTAACAGATTACTATTTCTGCCTGGATATTTCCAAGGTAACTTGGGTTTTTTTTCTTCCCTGCAGCTTTTTCTACTTCCATGGTCTCACCGCACACCGATGAATTCTTAGACTTACTTGCTAGCTCTCAGAGCCGCCGCCTAGACGATCAGCGGGCCAGCTTTAACAATCTACCCGGCCTTCGACTGAATCATCACAACAGTCAGTCTGTCCTTGGACACCTCATGGCAAGCAGTAACAGAGAGCCAGATGATGATTTTTTTGATATCCTAATAAAATGTCAAGTAAGTCACTTAAAAAAAAATAAAGAAAATTCTGCTCTCTTACATGTGCAGAATGAAGTGGGTTTCAGGAGCTGGGTGTGCACAGTTGTAGAAGTCACTTAAGTAATCTACCGTCTTTAGGGCTCATTTCCCTCATTTCTAGAATAGGAACACCTTTAAGGTTGTAGGTAAAAAGGATCCCTCAACTGCTACATAGTGATACAGGCAAGGTAGGGAAAAATAGCCAGTAGATCTTACTGTTTTGATCTTTTGCCACTGAAATGTTTATGCACTTATGACATTTGAAAGACTCTTGCTACTAGAAATGTTGGGCTCTAGTTCCAACCTGCATATAAAACATCCCAGGTAAAACAGAGGGGATGACACCAATTATCTTTGGGGGTCTTTAAGAGAATGCTGGATAGGCATCTGGCTGGGGTCATCTGACCCCAGTGCTCTTTCCTGCCTAGACGGGGGGTCAGACTCAATCTGTTGAGGTCCCTTCCAACCCTAGCACCTATGAATCTTACCCTAATGGAGCAATTGATTATTTCTGGTACAAAGCTGATATACTAAGAAGGTCATAGGCTGAGTCAAGAGGAAAATGAAATAAAATTATTAATTCCTTTTCTTGCAGCTAAGACTGCTGATCCTAAATCTACTGCAGTAGTTGGTATGATGCTGCATCAAAATGTGGAAGTGAAATTAAGAAATCTAATCTGTCTTCTGTAGCCATAAAAAGATCTGTATGCCTTCTAGCTAACTCGGCATTCATAGTATGTTTGTCAACATGTTTATACTATACTAGCTGAAACCCGCAAAACACTTGCTATTTTAAATTTTTATGGCAAAGTATTTCTTTAAATACAGGATTTTTAGTTATCCTTTGACCGAATGCTTTGACGGTGAGAATCAAAACTTCTCACCCTCAAAAAGACTACATAAAGCTGTCCATGTGTAAACACAGGCTAAGGAGTATAAATACATATTGTGTCAAAAGTCTGACATGACTTGTTTATAGTCATAGAGTAAGAGGACCCTTGTACACGTGAGAAAATTGCCACTTTTAGTGGTTTAATTGCCCTTCTTAACAATTTAATTATGTAACAGTGTAGATGTTCGGTAGTATGTTACAATTAAATTTCGTACCAGTGTTCATATTCAGCAGTGTATTTTGATTTAAATAACCTTTTTACATAGCAAACTAAAACACGCCCCATGTATTTTAGTTTGCTACGTAATCAATTACAGCAATTTTCGTCATATATACGAGGGCCCTATACGGAGAAGGTGGTGGGGACTGTGCACAGGACGCTGGAAGCTTGGGCTTGCCGGGCCCCGTGCACCATCCCTGCTGCCAGCACACCCAGCCACCCTCCTAGGGCAGCCAGCCAGTTCCCAGGTGGCAGGAAGGCAGCAGGGATGGTGCATAGGGTGCTGGAAGCCTGCTAAGCCTGAGCTTCCCCAAGCACACCCAGGCTTCCAGTGCCCTGTTGGATCTGATGGATACTGCCTACAAGCTGGGGCTGCACTTGTGCAGCTAGCACCCTGACCAGGTGGCCCCAGGGGGGGCACCACCACCACAGAGGGAAACACTAAGGGGCTGTATGACCTGGTGGCAGCTCACGTGGGCAGGCTTCACCAAGGGGAGGATCTGATCTTTTTTCTTTCTCCTGGAGCCTGCTGGCATCTCCTGTGGTCAGGGAGCGAGCCACCGGTGGATTGCGCTGGCACTGAGGCCCCCGCACAGCCCAGGACCTGCTGGCAGCTTGACCCCCAGCTATGGGAGAGGTGGGCGGGCCCTGGAAGGGAGGGGAGAGAATTGGCCCACTCACTGCTTCCCTTTTCTTCCCCCAACCCCTTGGTGGAGCCTGCCCCCTCTGCAGCGGGGTGCCCTGCTGCTTAATTCTAGCTCTGTCTTACCTGCCTGTCTGTTTGAAATGCCTCAAGCTCTATGATAACAACACACGTATTCTGTCTGTCCGGAGCACTCTGGTTGTTTCAGTAAGGACTGTGACTGGCTGCTGAGACAACTGATCAGAGTGCTCCGGACAGAAAGAATAAACCTATTATTATTAGTGGTCCAAAGTATAACAGGGTAGGCAGAGTTCATTGTTTATTACTGTTTATGGGGTTTGGCTCTTTTCCATTTTGTATAGTGTGTGCACCTTAGTTGACAGAATAAATATATTTATAGGTCGTATGAGGTTTGTTTGTTTTTTGGGGGGTGTCTTTTTTAAAATAAAACTTACTAGGTCCTTACTGCAAGGAAATTACTCTTTTAAGAAAAGCATGTATATAGTAGCTGAAGATAATGGGGACTGCACAAATTACTGTGTTTAGGCCAGGACTGATAACAGAACATATTTAAGTGAATTAGTACTCTGACTGTAATAAGAAGGCTGGAAAACGTTCTTTAAAAAGTACTGGCAGGTAAAATTCCTTACAGCTGTCCTCTCTTTGCAAGAAGTCATTAAATGGTGTTAGCAGAGGGTATAGATACAGTAACTGAATCTGTAAGCCAGATAAGCTTTTAAAGCTGTTCAGTGTTCACTCTTTCAAGTTTATTTATAACTTTAAAAAAAGTGCTCAAATCCACCCCCCTACCTGTGGGAGCTCAGTCAGCCTGAGCTGGTTTTTAACTTTTGTAATATTCAGCTAATCTGGCAGCTGGTCTCTAATGAATTGTGATCTTGGGTAAGGGGCTAGTACAAGTTTCATAGCATTATTTAGTTTGATTTAAAGAGAAGTGTGTCTCCATTTGATTCCTCATCTAATTGCCTTCAGTTGCAGTGTCTATAATGTGAAACTTGGTTACCATAGCTAAGTATTTACAATTATTGAAGTAGGGTGCAGTTGCAAAAGCCTTCAGTCATTTGTTCTGTTGGTTATCTCCTATTATAAATCCTTATGCAAGGAAGGAATGGTGCTGATGAGCCTGGGACATCTCTGATTTCACACTTTCATAAAATAGAAATAAAGAAAGTCCACTACCTGTAGCTTTCTATAAAAAGCACCAAACTATCAACACAAGGAAAATGGGTGGTAGTTTTGTGCACTGCTGTCATGTTTGCTACTTCCACTGGAAGAGTTACGATTAACTAAATAAATGATGCTCATCCTTTTTAGGCTTCTAGCACCCTTTGTTCCTTTTCCAGGAGGTGCAAGTAGGCTTAGACTGAGAAGCAGCTGAAGCAAGAGGGGACACATCTCCCTGCATTAGGTTTATGGGATCAGCCTAATACAGGCAGGGCCACCCCCTTCTTCCAAAGCTGCTGCAACACTCTCCGGCCAGGTGAAACTGCCCCATGTGCCTCTGTTTCTAGAAAGTGTGTGCAGGGCTGGACTGGAAAGCAGCTGCAGCTACAGCTACAGCTAATGTAGGCAGAAGCAACCCTCCTGCCACAACCACATCCCCATCTGGTCCTGGATACGCTTCCTGAAAAGAGGTGCGTGGGGCAATTTCACCTGGCCTCTATGGGAGTGCTGTGGTATCCCAAGGTACCACAGCACCCTGGTTGAGAGCCGCTGAATTAAATGATTGTCTCCATCACTCATCTAGGATAAGGGGTTTTAATTAATCCTTTTAGTCACTATCTAAATGAGACATATTTACCTTCTATATAAACATGGGGGCATTATGGCACAGAAGTGAACTGGATGTGCTGTTAACCCTTCCCACTATTCAAGACTCGCTATTAGTGTGTTAGAGGAATCTGTTCAGTAAAAGCCAGCACTATTATAGCTAAACAAAAAAAACCACTAAGTCAGAATAAAACAGTCTGTCACTGTCCAGTGTTTCATACCTCTGTATGATATCTATATGCTTACAAGAATTTTATGTTTAAATCTATAGGGTTCCAGATTAGATGATCAAAGATGTGCTCCACCCCCAGCTGCTACAAAGGGCCCCACTGTACCTGATGAGGATTTCTTCAGCCTTATTTTGCGATCACAGGCTAAGAGAATGGATGAGCAGAGAGTCCTTTTGCCCTCCAATATAAACAGACCAAGTTCTAACTGAAAGACTTCTTAAAGCAAAGCTATCAGGGGTTTATTGTGTACTGTAACTTCTCAATGCATTTCCTTTCTTGTGCAGGGAAAGCTATATTATGCCTTTTAAGGGTGTGTATATAGAGCACTAACAGTTGGCTAGCCAATTCAAAGCATATTGTGTAAATACTTTTTTCTTTTTTTTTTCTTTTTTACAGGTGTAGTAAATTGACAGTTCTGTACTTTGCAATGTGGTCTGCAACAGGTACAGTTGTGACCACTACCTGAGATTTAAGGGCATTTATACATGTGGTCCAGAGGGGTGGGGGAAGGAGGATGTGCTTTAATTAGGGTGGCTCCAAGAGCTGGTCCAATTAAAGCACCAGGAGCATCTTGTGTATGTGTCCCCATACTTAAAAATGGCAGTAGGAGCTTTAGATAGAGCGTCCCTGCTGTTTTTAAGTGTAGGGATACTGATGTATAAGATGCTGGAGCATGGTAATCATGCTCCAGCAGATTCGATTAATCAAGTCTGTTCTGATGCTCTGTAATTACAGTGCCTCCAGAGCAGCCTTGCTGCTCATGTGTAGGCACTGTAAGTGTTTAGCAGCGGCTTTTAGCAGTGCTTTTGTAAATGAGCTGGACAAGTCACTTGGTAGTACACGTCATCCCCTCAACTGGCTTCAGTTAGCAGAGATTTTACTCCATAGGACTTGTATTAAAGGTACTTTGTCATAATTATGTAGGGTTTTAATCAACTAAAATAATAGTATGCAGCTGAGAAAGTTTGTATATCCTTTAAAACAAATTCTAATTTGTACTTCTGATCTTTCCAGGAAAGAGCAATTAGTTCTTGGCACTGTTCTTTTATACAAGTTTTTGTGTTGTTTTTTGGGGGGTTTTTTTTTTTAAAGGAAACCCTTGAGGAATAAAGTCACCTCACTTTGGCTCTGCATGTCTCGCTCTTATTTAACAGTTAGAAAGTGTCTAGCGATGTACTATCATAGGCTTTTTCTAAAATTATGATAAACCCATATATTACACACTTGCCATATTTTTAAAAAGCTTATTTATATTCAACAAAGTTCTTTAGAAAGAAGACTTGATAAACGATTCATATAGTTTAAAGTAACTTGAGCTTGGAGTACAGGTAAGTATGAAACACCATGAACAAAATTTTTTTGCCTGCACTCGTCAGCAGTAGCATTCCACTCACCAGGAAGATATTAATTGGAGACCTAGAGAGTTGATAGGACGTGCCATGAAATACTGACCATTGGCCAGCTTTGCTCTTGCAACAAAAACGTTAAGGTCACTTAACCAGCTCCAGGATGTATATACAGTCTTAACAATGTTATTCTTAGGATGGAGAACAGCAACATTGCAGAATAAAAGGTCCGGACACAGCTGAACCAGTTCTTTGCAGTACCATGCTAAGCTAAAATGTGTCTGTTTGCCTTGATATAAAACAGGAAGCATGAATTAAACCTATGGAGGAAAGAGAAGCTACCAGAAATAGTTAGACAAGTGTTTGGGTACTTATCCTTGCTTACTGTGATATTAGATACTAAGTGTTACTTACAAAGCAGATTCTGAAATTAGATATTTTTGCCCAACTAAGAGACTTCATAAAACTGATTTGAAAATATTAACCTCAGTTTCCTAAGTAAAAAAACATACCCAGTTCTTCAATGTGATGTTTTTAAAAGAAAAGATTTATAGAACAATCACAAAAATCTTCACAAACTAGTTTTCTGCAGCAAGTTTTCACACTGGAATTATCACACCAGTATAAAAAGACTAAACAGTGTAATACCATTATAAAATTAACTTAGTGTTTTTGACCTGAGCTATAATACAGGCTCATTCCATGTTGATTAATACTTGCAAATCACATTATATCTACTATTTTGCTACACATTTGCTTAAGATGCAAGCACATAGCATACAGCCCTACCCTGAAGTAAATAGCAATTCCAGAGTCACTTCCTGAAAAATGTGTAGTAACTTTCCTACATAAAGCATTGCACAAAATGAGGTGTACCCAATTCGCCTACTTTAGTGCTTCTCAACCAGGTGCCACAGGGCCCCCAATCAGTAGGGATCTACTTAAGGAATCTTCTTAAAGGGCACCAAGTGTAATTGAAACCTTGCAGGCCACTTTTGGCACCCAGCACCATTTTCAGTTTTTTTGCAGTGAGCTCCATGCCCCACCCCACCCCCCGATATGCAGAGAAGGCTGCCTTTTGTGTGGCCCTGCCCCTTGTCACTGATTGGCAGAGGCAGGGCTTCATGAAAAAGTAGCCATCTTGGTTGCTCCATTTTGGATCTGTTCCTGTCACCCCCAAGTAGGCTGTGAAGCTAGGCTGCAGCAACTGCTAGCTTCTACCAGGGAACCAACATTTGATTTTTATCAAATATTTTCCAGTGATTCTCTGCAACATCAAAATTCCAGTATGTCCCTACTAAATCAGCTTAACGTGCTGTATGGCACTTCATAGTCTGGCTCCCCCAGTACTCCTCCAGGAAACAGACACGAGTGGAACTGTCCCATCTGCTTCTGTTTAGGATGAGCACAGAAGACATCAAATCCTGTAGCATTACACAGCATGAGGCAGCACCTGCCTCTTTTAGGCTGATTAGAGAACCCTAATGTAGGGGGAGCATGTGCATGTGACAGCCCTTCCTGGGCTAGATGTGCAGCAGAATCTGGCTGAGAAGCACTAGTGTAAACTGAGGCAGCACCAACTGATTTTTCAGCCCAGGGGTGCCACCACATTAGATTAAAAAAAAAAAAAAAGTGGAGCTTGGGGGCTGTGACTGAAAAGGTTGAAAGACACTGCCCTAATCTATGTCACCAAGAGGGGTGGTGGTGGAAATCTTGCTTGCACAATAAAACTAGTTCCCTGTTGCCTAGTGGTCACATACTATAATAGCACAAACTGCAGGAAGTCAGCTTAAAAGCAGTATAGTCTCCACTTCTTTACTAGAAAGTTCCAGGATCAATTACTAATCCATAGTCTTTTTCTCCTGTGTCTACACCCTTCATTAAGTGCAAGTTTTCTTACCTTTAGAAATGATTTGCTGTATCTGTAAAAGTGACTGCCCTTTGAGAGAGCGAGAAAGAAAGAAAGTGATAATTTAAACCTACCTGGACACTCAATTGCTTACCTGAGGGTAGCTGTTCTTAGACCACAAAACTTAAAAAAAACCCAACTGGAATATGAAACTGTGGAATAAGAAATCATCCACAGACTGGACTGTGTTAAGTGCGGTCTAAACAGGGAGTCTGGATCTTTACCCGAATTAGTTTTTGTGTCCCTTTGTCCCTACAGATTTATTACTGTTTGCTTCTCCCCTCCCTATCTTTTGTATTCAAATCACTCCATTTTATACACTCCTCTGTGCAAGTCCTTACACAGCATCTGAGGAAGTGAGCTTGGGCTCACAAAAGTTCCAGAGATATATACACATCTCTGATTCAGTCAGTCCAGAAAAAATGCAGATCTACCCTGCCCTTCTGTCCTTTGAAAGATCATGATAGCCTGTCCCTGTTATAATCCTGCCTATCTTTACTACTTAAATTCTACTTATTTTAGCACTGTTAAAAGATAGCATCTCACTGATCTAGGTGTCAGAACGGTCACTTAAGACATTTACTACTTCTATCCTCCGCTATAATCATGGATTTTAAATCAGAAATGACAAAGTTTTGTCAGCTAAATAAGTTCAGTTTAACATTGTTCCAGACTTCTGGGATGAATACCATCCAGCCTTGGAGCGAACTAAATCAAAGAGCAACAAGCCTTTGATACAGAAAAAGGCTTCTAGAATGAAGAATAAACTGAGTATTTGGCACAAATATTTTAACACTGTTTTAAAGTGAACATAAACCCCAAACTAAATTAACCTCTGGCCACTTTAACCTAATTGCAGCTCAAAAGGGAAAGTGTGCTCTGCTATCCTGTAATTAATAATATAGCAGAGTTTGGACAAGGCCTGTGGTGCCAGCACAGGGAGTCAATATCTGCTACAGTAGGCCCTTGTGTGCTAGATCACGCAATACAGCATTACAATGCTTACCCTGCATGTAGAAAATGAAGTTACATTTAAAAATTCTAGGTAAAACATTCTGCCAGAAAGGGTAAATGAGAATGGTCTTACATAATAGGGCTAGGGACAGAAATTACACCTAAATCAGTATAAGTGATCAGAAACCAGTTCAAATCTGTAAGACCACAGAAGTTGTGACCATAAACCACTTTCAAAATTGCCAAAACTGGTTTAAGATAAATCTGGATGGATGTAGTATCAGACTTAACTTTAAATGGCTTTATTGAACTTCTGTCCCACAACTCCTCCAGATTCAAGTTAACTCACAGCCCCCCAGGATGCTTTGGGCTAAACAGTGTAGGCAGGCTAGCATTAGCCCAAGCTGTCTGCTCAGCAGGGAGGCACGTTCTAGTTCCCCTCAGCCTATGGCCTGGTCCACTGCAAGCATGTGGTTGCATTTCCAGAATCAACATGGTACTTCTAAATCTCTACGTGAATCATTTAGTAAATTATTTAGTGATTTAGAAGTACCAGAATCCTATGTTCACTTGCTTACTGGTTCAATCTATGTAGCTTAAGACTAACCTGCAAAGACGGAATCAATTCAGCTTCTAGCTTTCTGACCGTCTGTACTTAGCCTTCATGGAAACGAAAACAAGGTAAATCCCATCCCCTACTAACAAGCTCCAATATTAAAAATATCACAAATACGCCACACACAACTCAGGTATGTGAAGGTGACAAATACTGGGACTACATGCCATTTGTGCATACTTACTTATGCTCAAAAGTAGATTTGGCTCAAGATGAGGTCAGCAATCATATTTTACTCAGTTCCTATAAATGAATAAATATTAAAAACAAAGTCTGACAAAAGCAAAGCCTTTTGAAAACCAGGATTTAAACAAAACTTGCAGCACATCCAAAAGATTAACTCAGTCTTATCTGTGCCTTCCTTTCCTTCACACAAACTGCTCTTTCCTTTTTTAAATTCTCCTGTTGCATCAACAGTCTTACACATTGACATTGCTCTCTTCAGGACTACAATGTGTTTCAGTTCCACACTTTGCTTCAGATTCTTGTAAATCTCCAGGTGTGCACAGTTTCTGCTGTTCAGGTGCAACTTCTCCTTCATGGCTTTCATCTTTGCTCCTTTTCACACTATAAACAGCCTGTTCTTCAGAAGAAGCATGCGATCCATTCTGTAAAATGGATAATTTGCTTTATTCAATTTGTGGGGTGCATGCATGCACACAGACACACACAATGATGTAACAAGGGAGGGTAGGGAGCCTAAACTGTGACAATATTTTTTACGGTACTAAGTGACCACAAACTTAAGCAGCTGGACTCCCTGAACTTGCAAAGTTTTTCTAGATTTGAATTGTTTTTGTAAAGTGTGCCTGGACTACCCAATTCTGGAATATTCGTGTTCTACATTACCTTGATGTACAATGCACATTACTGCCTATCCCTATGACTACATTTCAGCTTATTGAAATGAGAGTGACAGACAACTTACAGAAATGTCCACACAGTTCTTTTTCTTCAATTCCTTTTGACGGTAATTCACATTCACCGGTTGATGTGTTACTGAGCTCTGAAAGTACACAAAAGTTACTTAAAATCTTTAATCAAGCTACTTTGTATGCAATCATTAGACTAGATCAGGGTGTCAAAAATCAAGCTGTTATCCAGCCTGCAGTGCTTCCCTTGGGTCTGAATTTAATCACATGCTGCATATGGCATGTGCCAAACCAGCTCTACTGGCAGGGCCCAGGACACATGTCACACATGGTGCCATCATGGACCAGCAAGGAGGAGAGGAGAGGGAGGAAGGAGCAGCTGCAAGTGACACAGATCCTGAAATGGACACCAAGCATAGCATGGTGCCTGCTCCAGCTGGACTATAATGCACATGAAATCCATTCTGGGCACCACAGGATCCATGCCGCATGCCCTGGCCAGTTTAGGATCTGTGCTGCATGTAGCATGGACCCTAGAGTAGCTGGAATGGGCACCATATGCAGTGGATCTGGCATGTGGGGGAAGAGGGGAGATCCATGGACTTGATCTGGCCCATGGACCAGCCCACTTCCCTCTCCCCACCCCTCACCACACACACACGCTCCTCTGCCCCACAGGGCCAACGAGCTGGACACCCCTGAACAAGATTAACACTGTACAATATTTATTCTCTTTCAGAATGCTGTATGCTGATCAAAACAATCTACATACAGCCACTCCACACTCCACTTGTTTTTGAAAACCTGGACTAGGCTTGTACACTAAAGGGGCTTAGTGATTTAGAAGTACCTATTTTTAGAAATACACATTTTCAAATTAACCTGTTCCTTTAGGTTTTTACAATTAATGCTGGGTTAACTTGAACAGCAACTGAAATCCACAACTTAACATACATTGGTTGCCATCTTGGTGTGCTCTTCTATTTGTGTGTCTGGCATATCACCTGCTTGAAGAACTTCAGAGGTTTTTTTGCCATTTGGTGGTCTCATGTGACCTTCTCTGTCTCTCAGACCATCTCCTCTCTCGTAAGTTCTTACATCGATGTGTCCAGCATTCATCCTATGACGGATATTTGAATCACCTGCACAGATATATTGCACATACTCTTTTGGTTCCCCCTTCTGTCTGTCACTTGGAGGAAGTGAAGACTGCGGTTCCCTCTCAGGACTTGTTAAAGGTCTGAATATATTAATAGATCTTCCTGCAAAATAGCAGAAACCCTAAAGGAAAAAAAAAGGGTATTTGCTTCTGCACCTGATTTTACTTGCTCTTTCTACAGATGTATTTTTACATCTCAGCACTTATAAGGAAAGAAGTCAATACAGAAAGTTTTACCATTTGCACAAAAGATCCTATTTGCCAAGCTGGATTCTAAGCATAATTTTTCAGTACTTAAAAAAAAAAAAAAAAAAAGGTAGCTCAGGGACCTCAACTTCAAAGCCTTAAAAATCTGAACAAATATTATCTAATTTAAATTTTAAAAGATGAATTAAGCCACTCACCCCCCTTCAGGCTTTCCCTGCATCATTTAGGTCAACAGAAATACACACACTAGCACAATTAAATTGGCACGAGGTGGTCAGACTTCCTGCTGCAAGCTTTTCTTATGCTGCCTTAAAAACCTCTGAGGATATAATATAGCCTAACAACTTTAAAATATTTGTTTCAATTTTACCAATCTGTTGTTCAACTCTACACAAAAATGCTGTTAAAATATCGGACCTAGTTTTATGTGGTGGAGATTTATGTATTTCTTTAGGTCTCCTAATGACAGCAAGAACATACTAACCAGAACAGCCGCAGCCATGATGATTAACACTGGAACCTGTAGCAATATTGGTATCTCCTTCATAAGCCCTTTAATGAATTCGCCAATTCCTTGTCCTACGTGCTTCAATGGCTCTGTTACAAAATTGGTGAATGTAACAGCCAATGCCTAAAAAACAACCAGATAGGGAAATTATTTTCATTTTTAACAAAACAATGGAAGCATGTATGGTCCAGTATATACCTTTGTTGGAGGAACCAGCCAAATAGGATTCACTAATATAAGTTCATAATACTTCTGACAGGGATCATCCTGGAATGTCCATGAACTTCTAAACCATTCTACAGTTAAAGAAAAATAAAAATTATGTACATTTACCCTTTTTCATTTTTATACCAAGATAAATTTTAAGACATGATAAAGCTAAGCGTTAACCAAAATATTCAATACTTTGTTTCACTTCAGAAGAATTAAAATGATTTCATAAAATTGGTCTGGAAGTTTAAGTTGTCTAAGCATGGAAGAAAAATGGAATTTTCTTAATGTTAAATCTTACTGTTCTTTGGCAAAGCTGTCCTTAAGGGTTTAGAATGTAGCACTAAGTAGCCAGGAAAGAGGACATTAGGTCTGCACATTTGCCTTATTTAAGGAAGTACTTTAATGTCTGGCACTTTTTGCAATCAGCCACTGGAATTTAGGCTTGGACTGTTGTAGCTGTAGTGGTCCACACTTGCTTCTCACATTTGAATTGAGGACATTTTCAGTGTTATTACTTACCTATTGGCCATGAAATGGGGCTTAATAGCACTTTAAAATAGTGTCTGTACTTTTATACAGCTTATTCATCTTTTAACATCTTGATGTTGAATCCAAAACCACTGTAGGAAATGGAGCAGTCTTTATTAATTTTATTATTTGGTTAAGCAGTAGTCTCTACCAGGCACTTATGAAGAGTAATCACTAGAACAGCCACCCTCACCCCCTGGGGCAGGTTAGTTTATTTTGAATATTGAACAGCAGTATATTATGTCTGAGGATTATGTTTAAAACTTTAAATGATTTGCCACACAGTTTTCTCAAAAGCTCAAATGAGCTTTAGTTAAAGCGTCCTCACCACCATTTTGAAGTCCAGGATGCTCATTACACATGATGCTGTGGACATTTTAATTATAGTGGCTCTAAGAACTGCTCTAATTAAAGTTACCCCCATAACTACCCCAGAGCATGTGTACAGACAGCCAAAAAGACAAAGTGATTGCTAACACTTATGTAAGCAGCAACAAGTGCTGTATGCTATCCATCACAAATAGTTTAAAAACCCCATAACGGCTATTTTTAACCTACAAATAAATACAGACCTACTATTATAATAGGCATAACTCCTGCATAAAAATAAAGTAAGCAACTGAAAATATATCTTGCAGGTCTAAGTAATAATATATGTTTTGTATGCAATTCTATTTGTGTTGTGTTACTGAGGCCCACATACTTCACTTACAGGGAAGTATTTAGTGGGCAAAAGAATACAGTATTTACTTAACTCCAAGACTAGGTTTTTTTCCCCAAACAACATAGGGTGGGTGGGGAGGGAGAGTCTCCTCTCGGATTGGAGTAGCAGCCCAGGGCAGGTGACAGCTCAGCTCCAGCTTCAGTCCCAGACTCAGGGTTGAAGCCAGAGCTGTCAGCACATGTCCTGGGCCATGAGGTTCATGCAGTGTGGGAGGGGGCTTGCAACAGGGAGAGTTTGGGGTAGGGGACACAGCACATGGGGGGGGCAAGGGGAGATCCCTGTGAGAAGGGGGGGAGGGGAGGTGCATAGAGAAGACCCCAGCTTCAGCTCCAGGCCAGGTCAGGCTGGGCTCATAGCACCATCCCTGCCCTCAGCTTATCCTAGGCTCTGGATCTGGCATCAGCTGAACTTAGAGTTGCTGCAGTTGTTTTGGCCTGACCAGACTGGGCCAGGGCAGTTGCTGCTGTTTCCCCTGGAGCAAGAGCCACCCCAAGAAAAGTGGTGGGGAAAGGTACCTAGGGGCAGGGAGAGGCACATGGCAGCAGGTGGCGGGCATGGGGGAAGCCATGGACGGGCAGGGACAGACAGCAAGGAAGCAGGCACAGGCATGGAGATGTCAAGCAGCAAGGGAGTAGGCACTGGGGGCAGTGGGAACAGGTGGCAAGTGGTGGGGCACAGGCAGTCAGAGGGTCAAGGGGCAGGGGTCTGGCCCCCTTGCTCCCTTTTCCTACTGCAGCAGTGGGGGGGGGGGGGGAAATGAATCTAAAGTAACCCTCCACTAATTAATTTCTATGCTTGGAAAATTATACAGATTTATAATATACCATATATAGAATCTAATTATGGGGGGTCATCTTAAATTTGAAGTTGTCTTGGATTCAGATAAAAAAAAAACAGGACTCTTTCTCCTTCATTTAAGATGCCGTATCTTGAATGGCATAGAAAGGAATACAGATGGAATGGGGGCAGTCTTTTCCAACTGATTTTACTAAACAATGCAATACAAGTTTTAAAGCCAAAACAAAATGACGTGCCACTACTGATTTTATGCCAAAACCCCCCCCCAAAATAACACTGATTATTATTATTTTTAAATTTCTATAACTATTAGGGAAATTAAACTAAACACCTCACCAAACAGATTCCCACTCCAGCTGATCTTCTCAGCACACACATTGTCAAACTTCTCCATTTTAACTACTTCTGCTTGATGCTGTGCAAAGGCCACCTGAAATAAGGATGCAGCTCATAATTTTGCAAGACCAGAATAGTTACTGAATATGCCATCTGGAAAAATAGTAACCTTATAATTAAACAAGAAAAAGAAAGAATAGCACCCACTATGCATTAAGCACTACTGGCTGGTAAGATACATTTTTTGTCCTTCTATATTTTACCTTTCAGGAAAGCACCAGAAATGTTCCATTTCTCGCAGAAAAAATGGACACCTAAAATGGATACTACAAGTGAAAACTTACAGAAGAGGATCTGTAACAAGTTGTTACGCTATCCATTTAGGCTGTTGTCTGAAGTGACAGTGTATCATTCATACACCTACTAACTTGCATGCCACAAGCACATTTTCTCAAAAAAGTCAACCCTCCAAAATTGGGCTAGATGTCTTAAGTGGAAAAACTGATTTTCTTTGACTGTGCCCCTCCTGCTTGCTGGAAGGGAGAGATGTTGGCATCTATTCTGAAGCACACTCATCTTCATGACTCTGGAAAAAAAAATCTTCTCTCCTTACATTCTGCCTTCCAGAAAACAAGGTGCATATCTTATTGGGTGTGGTGTAAGGTATACAGGAAAATACAGTATTTTTTCTTCTAGTAGGTTAACTTTTGGGCATGAGCTAGTTTTCTTAAACAGTCTTCCAAATGAAGACTTTCATTATATCATAAGGCAAATGTAGCCCAAGGCAACAAATATCCTTTTATTGGATACATCACTGTAATGGATTGTGTCAACTTAAAGTTTTTCATTTTCTTTTGAACTGACCATATTTCAAGTACTACTCCTGTCAGTTTTTGTGGTCTTATATTTTTCAGTTCTCTCTCTCTCTCTCTCTCCTGCTGTGGTGTGGAAACCCCATATGGACTGCAGGGAATGGGCAAATATTCCCAGCATGCCACTGAGCATACAAAGTAAACAAACTGAATGAGGCCTTTCCCCCATGGGATCTCTTTTACAGGAAGGCATGCACAACTTGTGTAAATAAGGCCTTCTTAAATAAAGTATGACTTTTAAGTTAGGATATGTTGTATGAGGTCTCCTGAGGCAAAACTTAGCAAAGCGCAAAGTAAAAAAATTCTCACTCTGAATTTTAAATTTAAAGTTAAAATTTCACACTTCAGCAAAGTATTAAGTAAATGAACTTACCGAGACATGTTTTAATAGCAGTAGGAGACAGAATCCTCTGCTCAATACAACCAAAGCCAAAATAAAATTACCTTCTCTATGATTAAAGTAGCACTAGGCTGTAGTAGCAGCTAAAGTATAATACATCTGCACTCCAAATGGTTTAAATGAGCTAGCGAACTCATTTAGACATAGGTTAGTTTTTTTTTTTTCTTTAAAAACCTTTCCTACTGGCTTTGGAGAGCCACTCTTAAGACCTTTGTGCAGGAGAATTACATGGTTCTGTTGCTTTCTGGATTCTGTGCACCACTGCAACAAGGCCAGAAGAAATTTTATTTCAATCTAATAACGATTCAATGCACTTTGAAGTGTTTCTGTTCTTCTATTCTTTTTGGCAATCAACAACAGAATTTTGTGGTTTAACCCCCTCTCAAACTCTAAGGAATCTTAAGTTTACTATTAAAAGTTTACCATTAGAAACAGATCCAGAACTTCCAATTTACTTACCTTATACAAGTAAACCCAGTTCCATCCAAAACTGATAAGAAAACAAATTAAGAACACGCGTTTTATCTGAGTAAGCCAGGAAATTCTTGTCCATAACTCAGTAGCTATGATTACAACAATGCACACTAAACACAAGAGTCCCTGAAAAGAAAAAGGGCAGAGGAGAGTCAAAATCCAGACACAGAACTTAAGTTTACTAACTTGGAAGTGAGAGAACTACAAAAATTTACTGTGCCAATTTCACTTATATTTCTATTGCATCAAGTTGCTGCAAAAAGCCTGTTATGAGACTGCTGTCTTCTTTTCAAAGAACATCCTATTTCACTATAGGAAAAGGAATGCTTTCCACGATTTAATGGTCCTTCCTGTCATGCCTTCAGAAAATCTTTTGTAGTCACCTTAAATTTCACTGATAGCATCTGACAAAGTAGGCTGTACCCTAAGAAAGCTCATTCCTCTAAATACATTATTCTATTCAATTATATTTAACACTGCTGTTATAATAGCTCCCTCACACTGCTATAAGAACTAATTAGTGCGGGAGCAGTAAGTGCATGGCAAAAACAAGAAAAGCCCAACCCCTATACCTGTGCACTGTGGCAAAGCTGCTCTGACAGTAGTTCAAGATGAATTAGTATATGCAGAGAGAAAACGGCATAGGAAGAGATGGTAAGACATCACTGGTAAAGGAAGGGATGGTATAAAAATATTTACAATCCAAAATTCGAATTTTTCATTGGCTATAAACAGGCACATTCTGAATGATAGAAGAACTTTGCTGAGCTACAAAGTTATTCAAAAGGCAGGATAGATATAAGGGATGCACCGATACATTGGTCCATATTGTATCAGCACTGATAAAAGGAAAATTGACATTACTGGTAATCACCTTCATTGGCTGACCTAGCTGAGGTCTTTGATAAATGTCGTGTGTGAACATGGCCAGAAGTGCAGCCACTGTTGTGGGGGGAGCAGATTGAGGTCCTTGTGGTGAGGGAGGGAGTGGGGCTGGGGCAGGTGCTTCCCCTCTGGGGTGTGGGGTGGAGCTGGCAACATGGGGGCGGGGGGGGCAGCACACACCCCCAGGAGAGGTGTGGAAAGCATGTGCCCCCCTGGATCTGTGTGGGGCAAGGGTAGGCTGCTGCTGCAGGCTTGCATGCTGTGTTGGGCTCTTCCCAGCAGCTGTGCTCAGGCCAGGCAGCAGCTAGGAGGGAGGCTATGGGGCGCGGGAGGGAGGCTCGAGCCTTGGCCATAGCTGGCCCCATAGCCCCCCTCCCAGCACCACCACCACCTGCCCTGCCTGGCCCAAGCACAGCCTGGGAACAGCCCCACCACCACAAAGTGGCTGGCACAGCCCTCAGCCTCAAGTGGCAGCCTGCCCTCACCCCACGCAGATCCAGGGGGCACATACCCCCCCATGCCTCCACCAGGGGTGCGTGCAGCAGTGGGAGCCACCCCCCGGACAAGCTACCAACTCTGTCCTGCACCCTGCCCTGGCGGGGCAGTGCCAGTGCCTGTCCACAGCCCCACTCCCTCCCTCACCATGGGGGCCTCAATCTCTAAGTCCACCCACACTCCTTCCCTCCCCATGTCCCCTCCCCACAACCGGACTTACCAGTCAGATGCTGCTCTCCAAGCTGCCAGGCTGCATATCGGATCGGTACCAGACGATATGACTGGTCAATAATTGGCCATTGGTATTGGCCCAAAAAAATCTTTATCAGTGTACCCCTAGTAGATATACATCTTTATTGACTAAGGTATCTATAACTTTTGTGCGCCAGATCCATAAACCTGGCAACCCAGGACACCTCACTGTCTCTGGCATTAGCACCATCACAGAGGGAGTTTCTAGCTACAGCGTTCTGGCTCTATTCATTTCCCTAATGTCACTGGAGCCATGGCAGCTGTTCAAAAGACGTACGGATTTCTTAAAGAAACTAGGCTCCATTGACAAGCTTCCAGGAAATGCCATATTAGCTACCATGGATGTCACATCACTGTAGGCCAACACCCACCATGAGGACAGATTACAAGCCATAAAGAACATTATCCCTGATGAGAAACCTGCTTGTTTGCATTACATTCTCCCACTTTGTCCTCACACGCAACTATTTCAAGTTTGGGGACTCCCTATAACCACAAACAAATGGCACCTCCATGGGCACATATAATGGCCCCCCAGTATGCCAACATATTTATGACTGAGAATCCAGGTTTTCTGTTTCCCACAGAAGAAAATGTGGATTTTCCCTTTTGACCAAGAAAAACAAACTTTTCATTTTAACAGGGAAACATGGATTTTCCACTTTTGCAAAGACCTCTATGCACGCTGGAAGAGTTTACACATACACAATCCTTGTTATGATCAGGGATCCTGGTTTTCCCTGATAAAAAAAAAATATCAGGGAAAACCAAATTCTCTGATTAAAAAAAATTGTATAATCTCTGATAAAAACTCCTAAATCCATTATTAAAAGGAAAGGTCCCTCACTCCCCTCCACAGTCCCCCAGTCCTGCTGGTGCTCCTCCCCCAGCCCTGCCAGATGGGGCCCCCAGCTGCCCAGGTTATAGGGCCAGGGACCCAGGTCCACAGTCCCCTGCCCCTGGCAGGAGGCAGCAGCTACTGCAGCAGAGCAGAGTCCAGCTCCCCACCCCACCACTGCCTTCTGCACACCCAGGAGCAGGGGGAACCCATGCCCCCAGATCTGTATGTGGGGTGGGGGCAGGCTGCCTGCTGCAGGCACCTGCCCTGCTGCCCTCCCCTGGGGCCTCCACAGCCCAGTGGGTGCAACCAAGCACTGCAGGGAACAACAAGCCCGTATGGGGAAACTGCTTGCCACTGCAAGTTCCATGCTGCCCTGGTGAAGCATCCCCCACCCCCATGGCAGCAAGGAGCATGACCCCACGTGCCCCACACTGTTGTCCCCATGCAGGCAGGGGTTGCATTGCCAGGGCAGTGCAGAGCTTGCAGCAGCAAACAGCTTCCTCATGAGGCCCCGCTCTGCCTTGCAGTGCCAGGTTGTACCCTCTGGGCTGCAGAAGCCCCAGGGGACAGCAGCCTACACCCACACCACATACAGCTCTGGGGGGGCATGGGTCCCTCCTACCCCCAGAGTAGGCCCAGTAGTGGGGACCCAGCTCCACCCCACCCTCCAACAAGCTACCTGTGGCCCCATCTCACTCCCCCACTGGGGCCCTCCCCCCCCAAACTTACCTGCAGGAGCTGCTCACTGGTGGCCATCAGCATATACATACACCTGGCTGCCATGAGCATATACATGTGCATGGCGCCCCGTACCTGACTGCCCTCCTCCTGCTCCCTCCCAGCCCCCTGCAGGCTGGAACTCTTGTCAGCCTGCAGAGGGATCTTTGCAAAACTGCAAAATCTGCAGGTTTCTCCATTAAAATGAGAAATCTGTACTTTCTTCCAGTAAAGGGGGAAAATCCACGTTTTTCTTTGTTTTCCCATGGGAAACTGAAAACCCAGATCGCTGGTTATGATAGACCTGGAAGTTTGTTTCCTCTGCAACTGCCTCTCATCCCCCTTCATATACCTCAGGTACACTGATCACATCTTCATAATAAGGATATATGGGATAGAGATATTTCAACAGGACATAAAAAACTTTCACCCCTCCATCAGACTAGGTCTGGAATACTCCCTGCAGCAGATTCATTTCCTAGGCACTACAGTGAAGGTCTGCATTTGCTGGATCACCACTACACTGTACTGGAAACCAAGCAACTGCCACAGCTATCTTCACACCACCAGCTTTCACCCTAAATACACTAGATACATCATCTACAGCCAAACTCTATATTACAACTGGATCTGCTCTGATCCCACATTGGGATGCACATCATAAAAAGTTACAAGACAATCCCAAAATTCAAGCTACTCAAATCAACAATGCTAGACTCAGGCCTAACTCTGATCTGCTACAATACCAATGCCAGGACAAGGGAAACAGAATCCCTCTGGCTGTCACCTACAGCTCCCAGCCTGAACACCTCTGACACATCATTAATAACCTCCAATCCCTCCTGGAAAAGTATGATAATTTCAAGGCAGCCATGGCAGACAAACCTGTGCTGGCTTACAGACAACCCCTGCAACCTCAAATGGGGTCTCTCAAGCAACAGGCTACCTAATCCCTATTTTCACCAAGGCACCAGGCCTTGTAATAGAGCCAGCTGCCTACTGCACCCCTACATCAATACAGAACACGTTATTACTGAACCAAATAAGGAGTACAACATCTGAGTTTGATTCATCTGCAACTCTATCGACATCATATATACCTTCACCCGCTTACAATGCCCACCTTCACTGGACGGAGAGGGCAACTCTACATGCAAGAATGAATGCAGGAACACCGATCAGACATCAGCTGCAGAAAAATACAACACCCTACAACAGAATACATCAACCTCCCTGGCCACTCCAGTGCTGACCTCAGGATTGCTGTTCTCAAGCAGAAAAATGTTAAATACCAGTTTGAACAGGAAACTGCAGAACAGGAAATGATCCATAAACTGGACTATGTTAAATATGGTTTAAACAGGGATGATGGATTCTTATCCCATTACCTGGATTAGCTTTTGTGAACCCTTTGTGCTCTATGCATCTGTACCTATCTACCCTGCTTTCTAACGTCAGACTAACATGACTAACCATCTCTCTTTACATAGTTACAACAGAATCTCAGTCAAATTATTTAGTTTGTGATTATTAAATTAAAAATCAGTCTTGCTTAAAACGTTCTAAGTTACTGAGCTACCAAAAACAATATTTATCAACGATATTTGTCAGTTTGTCCCTTGCTATAAGCAAACATATTACCATATTTACTTGAATCTAAGTCAACCCTAAATTTAAGACTGCCCCCCGCCCCCCATAATTATATTCTATATATGAAAAAATGTGTACACCTGTTATAATTTTCCAGGTATAGAATCTAATTATTGGAGGGCTGTCTTAAATTCATTCCCTACCTCCCTCTTGCTACAACAGAGAAAGCGGGGGGCGGGAGGGGGGTCAGGTGGCCCCCTTACCTTCTGCCCTCCCCACTTCTCAGTATTACAGTATTCAGACTAACCCCCCCCATAAGGGTACATGAGCAGAGTCTAAACTGCTCAGTCCATGAGAACTCTGAATCCTTACAGACTTTGTGTATTCTGGGCCCTAATAAAGTTAAAATGGATTCCAGTTAGCAAGACTACAATATCTGGTTGGAAAAGAGACGGAATACAAAAAAGATCAGCAGATATGGAGAGTTCAAAAAGCTACTTCCTAAAGGGATTCAAAAAGTAGAGAGAAATCAGACAGGCCAAATGATAATGTCTCTTACCATAAAGATATCATATGGACAAACTCCAAACGCATCCTCAAACCTCCATTTCCAAGCCTCATAATCATGATGCTTAAAATTAGTTTGCATATCATTAAGGGCATCATCCAAAGCAGCAGGTTGCAAGTCCTCCTCATTGAGAAACTTTTCGATCTCTAAAAGAGTTTGTTTTGTAAGGACGATCTCAGAATCATAATGCATGCTACCAGTATTTTCATTAGGCTAAAAAGAAAGCAATACAAAACCATGATTAATCAAATCTATTTTCAATAGGAAATCTATACAAAAACAAGAATATGAAGTGTTAGATATTAAATATTAAATGAACCTTTCACCATTATGCAATCAGACCTGTGGAAGTAGCACCTGGTTTCCATGTGGACTTTCAACAGAGTCCTAATTATGGGTGGTTATAAGATCTTCCTGTATGGGTCAGGCAACTAGAGTAAGGCTATATTTGAGATCTATAGTTTTTGTAGCCTTTTTATTTTTCTGCATCCAAAAAACTGGAAGTTGACAAGTAAATCATATACTTCGAAATTTTCTTCCAAAATACATGAAAAACAAAAGCAGAACCTCTTTACGTTTTGTTAGGATATCAGCAAATCTCCCTACTAGCAGACAGTAATAAGTCATCTGTTCTAAAACAGAATGGGGTCCAAAATGTAGCAGGAAGGATTTAGACAGAAAGTGTCTTGTTTACCAGTGGCAATTTTAGTATTGAAACATGGAAAATGTTATAATACATTCCATTTCTAGTCCTGTAGTGCTCATTATTTAACTTATACTTAAGGAAAAACTCTCTGCTCCAATGGGAAAAAAAGTAATAACCAAAAAGGTGAGAATGAAACCAAGTAATCCTGTTTTATGCAAGCTCAAAAAATATAGGTTAAAAAATGGTCAAATGAAGAAGACTGACAAGAACTTGTTTCTTGAGATCCAGTTAGCATACCCATAGTCTGGGTAGTGCATTACTGTACCTACATCATTTCATAAACACATTGGATTCTGAACTTCAGTAATAATCTTATGAATGCTCCCTATATTGTGGGGGCAGAGGGACAAGCTCTTCTCTAGGTGGCAAAACCTACCTACTTTTCCATCACTGGAACGTAAATTACAATATTGTAGGAATAGTTTTATTTCCTTTACATCAACCGTATTATAATAATCTATAAAAATGACTTTTTACAGCAGTCTCATTTATTGTAAGGGGAATACTTAAGTCACTCTGATTGGTAATAATGGCAACTGCAGTAAAAAACAAAGGATTGTGCAAAATACTATTTTATTAACAAATACTCACAAAACCAAGTTTTCTAATTTCATTTAGAATTTTATTCAAGTAACGCCTAAAAATATGAATGCTGCTGCTTTCATACGAGTTGGTCTTCTCCTTCTTCTTATAGTTCTCAATCTACAACAACAAAACATAGATTACTGTCTTCCACCAGTAACGTTACATTTTAGTATGAGATTATCAATAACATTATACGATATTAGTACGCTACACTGATAAAGATAAGTTTCCCAATATTAGCCTGTTACAGCTACTATATTAGACAAAATCATACCAAGGACTTTAAGAACAATTGTTTCCATATTTTCCACAGATTCAAAGCTAAATAGATTAGACTCAAATAGATCTACATTCAAAGCTAAATATCAAGGACTTTACACAGTATTTTTCCATTGTACCTATTATTTCATTTATCTGCATACCACTGCCAAATCTGTATTTTTTGTGAAAAGTCTGTAGAAAATACTGTAACTTCTGTTTTCATAAATCTATTATATGTGTGTATTTTTAATTATAAATATGTAATGTGTATGGAACATTTTATTTCCCTCTTTTGTTTCTGATCAATGCGGTATTTGATATCACAATCTGAAGGGTCAGAATCAGATCCTAACCTTATCCTAAAAACTCACAGCAATACAACAAAATTGCCTAAGTACAATTTACTACAACAAACAAAATGAACACCTGTTTTCATCTGACTTATGTAACCTACTAATAATTTGCTGTTTTGGGGAGAACAGCAGCACCTACTAGGGAAATTTCCAAATGTCTCAGTTTTAAGCAGTCAAAAGCCTAACTCTTGTCCCTCTGTGGGCAGAGTCATGTTTCAAATGCTCTAGGACTGGATCTGTGGGTGGCAGTCCCATTTTCTGAACTATGTTAATACAACAAATATAGTTGGATTTGGCACCTGAAAGCTCTCTCTTCCAGGACCTGTGACAAGTCAGATGAATCTACTGTTGTTTCATATCTAGGGGTTGTCATTTACTATAAGCTGCTCTGAGCCTTTCTAGATAGGGCAGGATATAAATCTATAGCTAAATAGTAATAACAATAATAATAATATTTCTAATCACATTATCAGAGTCTAGATTTTGCTTTACAAAGGAAAATTTCTAAATAGCCTGATAGTTGTAAGATCCAGAAACTAATTCTGTTTCAAAATAAGATTTTAAAAAACAGGGGAATTGAAAGGAAAATCTGCAGAAATTCTACAAATCAGCATTCTAAAAAATCTACAAAAGCCTAAAGATGATAGCACCAAAGCTAGCTGCAAAGTACAAACACTGACTCTCTGATGGTACAGTTTATTCATTCAAACCTCAGGCTAACACACACACAGGCCCCCCCGCTCCCCCGTGAAGCTTTGGTTGCTGAATCTCGATTCGGAGGAGACCTGGCCCAAATCGGCAGATGAATCTCCGAATCCAAATCAAATTGGGAGACCCATTAAAGGGTCCAAATCGAATCCAAAGCCTCTGAATCTATTCGAAAAAGATTCGGAGAGATTCGGATTGGCCAGGGAGAGGCAGGCACAGCCAGGCAGCTGCATGTTCTCCCACAGCTCTTCTGGCTGTGCCTGCCTCTCCCCAGGTGGGGG